TCGAAATGAACTTTAGTTTGGGTATCAAAACTGCAATTTACCCTCCAATTAATTTCTAGATCCGTAAAATCTAGACAAAACCATTTTTCTTAACGTCCACATAACAAAAAGAAAAAATGGCCGGAGAAATTCAAGAGGCATACCCGGTTAAGTTAACAAGCCGAGCTCGAAATACACCCCTTCTCCAGATGGGCCTTTCTTAGCAAGCCCACTCCCTGAAGCTGCGCAATCCGCATCACGTGCGCGAAATCTGATATCGAACTCTGATCAAATTTTACCATCTTTTGTTCCTTTTAGATTGTTAAGGGTTCTTCATGGATACATAATAGGAGGAGATTTTTTTCATATGGTCAACTTGCGCCACTTGAATTTCAAATTTAAACAGCAGAAGCTTGAATTTCCTTCGGAATTTTACCTACTCTGGAATTTACAGACGTCAAGTATATATCATACATATAAAAGGAGGCGCGGTTACGCTACGATGCTGGACATCTAGCGGATGCGCCACCTCAGACACGTCTATCTATCTAGGTGGTTCCAGCTCATGGATCCTCCTCCTCCCGTAGAAGAATTCAAAAATGGTTGGATGGTGTTGGAGAATCTATATACGCTCATGGCAGTATGTAATTTGCAGTTGAGTGAACAAGTGGTTGAGAAAATCCCCAATATCAAGAATCTGGGAATAGAATACTACGACGAGGAGGAGGTAAATTATCATCACCCGGCAGCAGTGATTATGGTCTCCACTATCTCTGCCGACTACATAAGCAGGAGTCTTTCTCTCTCTATTTTTTCGAGGAAAAGTGATCAGGTGGTGGTAGTGGTGATGATGACATTACCGGTTACACTCAGAAAGCTGACTCTGAGCGGGATGCGCCTCGAGTGGGAAGAGATGGGGATAAAGATAGACTCCTTGCCATCTCTCGAGACCCTCGATCTATATGATAATGCGTTCGTGGGAAACTACCGAGGGTGGATTCCGGAGCCTCAAACACTTGATAATTGGAGGTTGTGATTATCTGGAACAGAGGCCACAGACTTCCCGTGCCTCGAGCAGCTTGAACTAAAGTACCTAGATAAGCTGAAGGAGATCCCATTGGGAATTGGGGAGATAACCATGCTTATGGGGATCAAGGTTGTTGATTGTTAGACGTTGATTGTTCAGCCTCTAACGTGCTTTCTGCAAGGAAGATATTAGAGGAACAACTGCAGTGCTTTGGGAAAGTGGATCTTCAGATTACAGTTCCGCTAGTGGGATTCCGCGAAAAAAAGGAGCAAATGCGCGATCCAAATGTAGTGTTTTTATAATAAAGCACTAATTGAACTCTAGGAAAACTAAAGTCTAAAGATACTTATATTAGGTTTTCGAAATTCTAGGGAAAACCACTAATTAAACTCTACCGAGAAACTTGAGAATGATATTTACTAATTTACACACGGATTAATTAACGTACATAAAATTTTGATCACTAGGATGAATTAACTCAAAAAACCAAACAGAAGTCGTGATAACAAAGGATTGATAGAAACATATAAGAACTTCCAAAAAGGAGGACAAAACAGAGGGTTCCTATCTGATGATTGTTCACAAGACCTTTGGATGTTAGAAACTAATACATTTTTTCTTTTTGAAATCATTAAGCTTGCCAAAATTTCATTTTGAAAACATTGCAAAATCACGTTGCGTCATTGGAACAGATCAACTTCGATCCTCAATCTGTTAAGCACTGAGCTCGATTTACACGTGAATCGGGTTACCAGTTTATTTTCCCTGAACATTATATTTCACCCAATATGATCATTATACATGCAAATGAGGAAGATGAGCATTTATAAGCTCATGCAGAGAGTAAACGACGTCGTTTCCATACTAAAACTAACACACGACAAAACGTCCTCGCCTTAAGTAAAAGAAACGTAACAAAAGGAAAAAAAAGCGTGCAACTCTTTAATAATAAAGAAAATAAACCAGGGTAACATATATAACTAACATAACAGAAATAACATATGAGCATGACGACATCTGATTAGCTACTCGAACAGTAGTAAGTCTTTATAACTGTAAAGTTTCGACTACTCATCAAGTCGGGTAGTTGGGTTTTATTTCGAATGAAACAGTAATCTGAAGCTCCACTTCCCTAGGGTCTAAACAATCAATCACCTTGATCTCTCTAAGAGTATTTATATCCCCAATGGGATCTCCTTCCGTTTAGGTAGATACACAATTCTGAGGCTCTCGAGACACGAGAAGTCTGTGGCTTCCACTGTTCCAGATCACAACAGTTGTCAATTAGCAAGTATCTCAGGCTTTGGAATTCGCCCTCGGATTTTTCCCGTTCAAGCCCACGAACGCATCAGAATTTAGCGTGAGGGCCTCAAGAAATGGCAAGGAGCCTATCTTTGCCCCATCTCCTTCCACCCTAGCCTCGTGTCATGAAGAGTCAGCTCCCTGAGCATAACCAGGAATGTGATCATTATCACCCCACTTTTCCTAGAAGGAATAGCGAAATCAAGATACTCCAGCTTATGTAGTCGGCAGAGATTGTCGAGATCATAATCATCGTATTGGATTCCTAGCTTCTTGATACTGGGGATTCACTCGACTACTTGTTCACTCAACCGCAAGTTACATACTGTCTGCAGCGTCTCTAGATTCTCCAACACCATACAACAACCATTTTCGAATTCTTTTGGAGGAGGATCCGTCAGCTGTAACCTGCCCCATATTATGACCTGCCTAAGTTGGGGCATCCGCCAGATGTCCTGCACCGCATCGTAGTGTCTAATGAATGATATACTTCTAACAGTAAATTCCAGAGTAGGTTAAATTCTTCCACACAACAACGCACAACCGCACAACCACCCTGACCACAACCAAAGCTGGTGTGCCCAACGCCGTATCATCATTCATCAAGCCGCATCAAGCCAATTCCTTGAAGTTGTGCAATCCGAATCATGTGCGTGAACTCTGATATTCAACTTTGATCAAACTTTACCATCTTTTGTTCCTTTTAGATTGTTGAGGGTTCTGCAAGGACGCATAAAAGTAGGAGAATTTATTCATATGGTCAACTTGCGCCACCTGAGATTCAATCTTGCTAATTGGCAGAAGCTTGAATTTCCTCCTAAATTTTACGGTATTTACAGACGTTAGAAATATATCATTCATTCAGGCGCTACGATGCGGTGCTGGACATCTGGCGGATGCCCCAATACAGCTGACGGATCCTCCTCCAAAAGAATTCGAAAATGGTTGTTGGATGGTGTTGGAGAATCTAGAGACGCTGCAGACAGTATGTAACTTGCGGTTGAGTGAACAAGTGGTTGAGAGAATCCCAAGTATCAAGAAGCTCGAAATCCAATACGATGATTATGACCTCGACAATCTCTGCCGACTACATAAGCGGGAGTCTCTTGATTTCGCTATTCCTTCAAGGAAAAGTGGGGTGATGATGATCACATTCCCGGTTACGCTCAGGGAGCTGACTCTTCACGGCACGAGACTGGGGTGAGAGGAGATTGGGGTAAAGATAGGCTCCTTGCCATCTCTTGAGGCCTCACGCTAAATTATGATGCGTTCGTGGGGCCCGAATGGAAAACAACTGAGGGCAAATTCTAAAGCTTGAGATACTTGCTAACTAACAACTGCTGTGATCTGGAACAGTGGAGTGTGGAAGCCACACACTTTCCGTGCCTCGAGAGCCTCATAATAGTGTATCTACACCTAAGCTGAAGGAGATCACAATGCGAATTGGGGATATAAACACGCTTAGGGAGATCAAGGTGGTTGATTGGTCAAACTCTGTCGTGCTTTCTACAAAGAAGATATTAGAGGAACAACAAGAGTGCCTTGGGGAAGTGGAGCTTCATATTACTGTTTTCATAATAAAACCCAACTACCCGACTTGATGAGTAGTCGAGACTTTACAGTTAAAAAGACTTATTACTGTTCGAGTAGCTGATCACATGTCCTTCATGCTCATATGTCATTTCTGTTATATTGTGAGGTGTTACTGTGGTTTATTTTCTTTGTTACTAAAGCGTTGCACGCTTTTTTCCTTTTGTTAGGTTTCTTTTAGTTAAGGCGAGGACGTTTTGTCATGTGTTAGTTTTAATATGGAAACGATGCCGTTTACTCTCTGCATGAGCTTATAAATGCTCATCTTCCTCATTTGCATGTATAATGATCATATTGGGTGAAATATAATATTTGGGAAAATAACCTGATAACCCGATTCACGTGTAGATCAAACTCAGTGCTTAACAGATTGAGGATCAAAGTTGATCTGCTCCAATGATGCAATGTGATTTTGCAATATTTTCAAAAAGATAAGTTTGACAAGCTTAATGTTTTCAAAAAGTGAAAGAAAAAAATGTATTAGTTTCTAACATCCAAAGATCTTGTGAACAATCATCAGATAAGAACCCTTTGTTTTGTCCTCCATTTTGGAAGTTCTTATAAGTTTCAATCAATCCTTTGATATCACGACTTCTGTCTGGTTTTGTGAGTTAATCCATCCTAGTGATCAAAATTTCCTGTACATTAATTAATTTGTGTGTAAATCAGTAAATATCATTCTCAAGTTTCTCAGTAGAGTATAATTAGTGATTTTCCCTTTTCCCTAGAATTTCGAAAGCTTATTAAGTATCTTTAGACTTTAGTCTTACTTTAGTTTCCTTATAGTTCAATTAGTGCTTTATCAAAGAGAACACTACATTTGGATTGTCGCTAATATTTCTATCTCCCATCATATCCTTGGATTACAGGCCAGCCGTTTAATTCAACACCTCCATGCGAATGGAGTTCCTATTTAGGTTACAACTGGGCAAGTTCCTTGTTTTCTTCAATTGTCAAAGTAGGTTTAGGACATGAGATTGGTAAAATATCATTCTGACACGTTTGGCAAGCTTGCTCACTTATCTTTTTTTTACCTTGTTGTAGTTCACACAAAAGTCATTTTGAGTTGAAAACACAAAGGCACCGTGAAATATCTTCGTTGATGCATCATGTAGTTTTAGGGGATGATCCAGAAGTCAAACAAGGGAAACCTTCATCCGATGTCTTCATTGCACCTGCCAAAAGATTTGAGGTTAAATGAAAAAAAAAAAAAAACTACACGAAGATATAAATAAAAGGGGGTAAATTGCGCCAAACCCCCCTGTATTATACGAAATCTGCGCCTTATCCCCATGTATTTTAAAAAATGCGTCATACCCCCCTTTTGATTGCGCAGGCTCCCCTCTCCTTGTATAATACAAGGGGGTATGACGCATTTTTAGGGGATAACGCGCAATCAAAAGTATAATACAAGGGGGTATGACGCATTTTTTAAAATACAGGGGGATAAGACGCAGATTTCGTATAATACAGGGGAGTTTGGCGCAATTTACAATAAAAGGAGAAGGAAAGAATATTTTGGAGCAAAAAATGTTGGAGTCACTAAACTATTGTTCGATTTCGATCAACGCTAGTCGATTACAGAAGAATGACAAGATGTGATTTTTTTTCGCCAATGAAAATGTTTATTTATTTATTTATTTTTTTCATCGTGCCTTGATTAAATTTGGGAATCTTGATACTTTTCTATAAACTGATTCACACGAGATAATTCAAGTTTGCTAGTGTATTAGAAATCAAGAAGTATCCACGCAGATAAATTGATTATTGTTCGTTTTGCAGGGTGGACCAGTTGATCCACAAAACATACTGGTTTTTGAAGATGCGTCATCTGGCGTATTGGCAGCTAAGAATGCCGGCATGTAAGTTCTTATTCGTCCCTTGTTCTTTGCAAGAAAAATTTTCAACATACTATCAAAAAGAAAATCAGTAAATGAAATCGCATTATTCTCTAGAAAGGTCCATGCAAATTAAAATAAAAATAAATAAAAATCAGTTCTTCCAAAATCCATGGTAATTCTTGCCGAATTTCACCTTGCAGGTCAGTGGTAGTAATGGTTCCAAATCCGAGGTTGGACAATTCATACCATCAAACTGCAGATAAGGTTATAAGTACTCTCTTGGATTTCAATCCGAGCGAGTGGGGCCTACCTCCTTTCAAAAAATCCGCAGCTTAATTTCGCATTCGGTCAAAAAAAAAAGTTGGATAGTTATATGATTCTTGAGAACAAATTACGACGTTTCCTTTGGACTTGCCTGATAAATTTATTGCAGGATTGCCCAATATCATAATTTACATAAGGTCGATGACTATGAGTGTGCTTTTTTTTAATTATTATTTTTTATTGTTTAATTGTTTTCCTGAGAATGTGAAGATTGGATTTGAATGATATTTCAAATGTAGATAGAGCCTTTTGATCTATTTATTTGAGCTCTTTTGTTGAATATGTATTGGTGCGTAGAAATTTCTTTGAACACAACTTCTATAATCGACTAGCGTAAATTGACACATTTATCGCGAAACCCTTCCACCGGTACCCCTTAACAACATTTCCTGCTCTTTCCACGGCCTCGCCCGGAAAACCTTCCTCCAAAACCATGTAATCCAAGACTCGAACGACCGACTCACAAAACCAGAGCAAAAATCGGCATTTTCCACATGCGTTTTAATGTCCGTGAAGAGTTGTTCCCACGACAGGTTGTGGTCGGTGTAAGAAGCCGAGGACACTAAAACATCGCGATCCCGAGCACGTGGGAGACTGCGAAAAAAACGAGCAAAAACACAATCTCGACTACGAAAAAAGATATCATTTATTGGGAAACAAAAAACTCCTCCACTTGATTATAGCTTTAAATTGCTTTCAATGTGACTGGAAAGCATATATTCCTACATGAAATGTAATCCCAAAAATAAACCATCATGTCTTGAGGCAATCATGAGAGATGATTTCAAACTCGTAGTTTATACACCGTGCCCTGGCTTTTTTGGGTTCGACAACAACGGGGATGAGACCTATCTTGGGCTCCTGTGGTCGAAAGTCGGGTTGTCACCGTTGAGGTGGTGGAGAAGGCGACATTGCCTCTTTCGGTCGTTGTCCCGTGTTGGCCGCTTAGGAGGAAGGTTGGATCCAATTCATTTTTCTAAAATCTATGTAGCCGATAGTAGTCAGGAGTGTTGGAGTATCTAAATTCAAAATTCTTGCTTATGTAGTCTGATTTCTCTTTGTTGGTCGTCCTTGAGGGTTGTTGCTTCTTGATGTAGCGCGTCGTGCTCGTTAGTAGCTGGAGAGGGCTTTAGTCTTTAAGTATTAAGATTTTAGGGTGTTATTCGATATAAATCTTGATTAGTTTTGATTGGTTATTTTGGTTAATCATAGTTGATTTTAAAAAAGTTATGTTAAAATTGAGTGGAATTTTGTATTTTCATTAAAATAGTATTTAGAATAAAATGATTGAACTTGATTTGATGTAAAAGTAAGAGATAAGTGATTAAGAGTGATTCTCAGTTAAAATTGAATGGATAGTGAAAGATGATCTAATGTGTTTATGTGAGTAGATGAACACTGAATTAAAATTAATATGATGTATAAGGAATATTGATTGACATTATTAATTAAATTGATTATATTAATGAGTTTAAGTTGAGTTAAATTTGAGTTGTGGTTGGATTTTTTTGGTTATGATTTTTATCTAATCACACCCTAGGTATTTTGTGTTGTTTGTTTGACTGATTTAAACAAAGCTCAATCTAAACATCTTGAATTGTATCTTGTGGCCATCAGATATTGCTGCCTCAACATGTCAAGAAAACTAGTGGGACAAAACATGATCATTATGGAATCACATTGCTCCCTCAGGAAAATCAGGTGAGACAAAACCTAAGTATTGTGGAATCACAACTTTGCTCCCCCTCAAATAGATCATCTTTAGTAGAGTATCCATGTGCTACCTCATTAAAACCTTGTCAAGAAACCCCAGTGGGAGAAAACTTGATCAAAGGAAAAAAAGAGAAAACTTGATCAAAGGAAAAAGAGTATAACTACCCCAATGTCTTCTTATCATAATGAAGAATTATAAAAATTATACAGTAGTCCTCATTATACCATGAATATGTCTCGTTAAAACATTATTAGGAAAAACCCAGTGGGACAAAATCCAAATAAAGGAAAAATAGTACACAATTTATGTGAATATGTCATCCCAATTGCCACATTAAAAACCTTGCTGGTAAACCCAATGAGGCAAAACCTAAGCCAAGGTAAAAAGAGTACAACGCGTATTCCATATAATAATCTTTCCATAATTTGTACGATACAAACGCTTCCAGCGTATTATTACACCATCATAATATTTCACCTCCATCGGTATCATTCATTTTATTTGCACACTTCCAATGTGATACATATATCATTTATAAAATTTCAATCATTAATTCTCCCCCTCATCTTAACAAATCTCTAATCTATATTTTCAGTATTGAATTTCTTGAGAAGAGTTCATAGGAGAACTTTAAACTCATAAATTGTAATGTGCACATTTTTCTTTCAAAAATTAATCATATCAATTGATTATATTACTAGCTTTATCGCTTTCATATAACACTTATTTTCATCATCTTGTAACTTCAGGTTACGTGTCATATGCATATTCATTGACTAAAACATCTCGTAACTTCAGGTTACAAATCACATACTCATGTGACAATCTAGTGGATCCATAATATCTAGTAGCACACATGGAGGGGTAGTGGACCCATATATATCACACCCATTTCATACCAGATTAATAAGATATCGATTCACAAAAATTTAGCTAGTAATAATTTTCAACAATCAAGAATAAATCATCTCATATCAAAAATCATGCAAACCATCATCATTAACATCAATAAACATCACAATAATTCATATTTATCACAAACATATCACATCATCTTTCGGCGGCAATAAATGCATTTCAAGTGCAGATTCTAACACACAATATTTAAATCTGGTATCATATCACATGCGTATCATGCCTTCTGACACACAGACTTTTAAGCTATGTTGTAGAGTCGTATCGCATACGTATCATTTCTATAAATTATCAGGTAATTCATTAATATTCCTTAACAAATGTCCGAATATACAAATAGATTTAGCACTCCCAAATATCCGTAATATTATTCTTTTCTTTCAATAAATATCATAAAAAGGATTTATCGATCTCGACTAGAAAGATTGAGGGTGCTAACGATAATGATAGTCCAAGTGATATTCGATGGTGGATTGAAGCAAAAGTTCAATTGTCTAGAGAGTTTCCAAATTCATACAAATATATGTCAGGTACGGGAAAAAGTAATTTTGCAAAGAAACGGAGAGAAAGAAGATCAGGTGGATGCTTCAAATGCGCTCGATGGACTTGTGACACACGATGTAAATCTGTGGGGTTCATGTCCAAAAATCGAGAAGATAAAATATTATTTATAAAGGATGGATTGATTAAAGAAGCTATGGATCAAACGATTCAACAAATTCTTGAGACACGTCCTATTGGTTATGTGCATCGTGAGCTTATAGATGGATGTTTCAGTCTTCTCAAGGTAATAAATTTCTCCATCCAATCAAAACCATGTGTGTTCTTGGTGGTTCTAAACTAGTAAGTTTTTTCTCAAAATCTTGATATTGTATGTCAATTAGTAAGGGAGATGGGAAATCAAAAAATCAATTTACTGTATAAAGGGACTAACATCATTTTCTTTGATAACCTTTTAATGGCTGGAAAATGATTTGATATAAAAGTGAAAAGTACCAAACCTTTTCATAGAGCTTCAACAAGGATCGTCAAAGATTCTACAAGTTTGATGCTAACTCATTCTATTTATGAATGCATGATGGATATGGTGAACAATAGCGATGTTGTTATCATTTTTGTAACGCCCCACTTTGATTTAACGAAAATCCATGGCTTTTCACAAAAATCAACTTAATTTTTTAAACTCATTTCAAAACATTTATGGCGTTACTCATTTAAAACCAACATCAATAGTCATACTAATCATATCGATCATAAAATCATCTCCCAAATCGGGTTTTATCACAAGTCATTATTCACCCAAACCGGGTTTCACTGGGAATCACCCGCCAAAGGCCCATGCCCTGGTCTTACGGCCACAAAAGGAGATTACTCAACGGGTCCGTTCTATAGTTACGGGGGATAACCGTTCGACAACCGATACAGCTCACATCGAAGGCAACATGGTTCACATGCATACACTGCTCATACCACAAGCAGACATAAACAAAATTTATGGCATAACATTTTAAATAAACTCACCTGGTTGACGAGGTAGACAAAGCACACAAATAGCGGAAACGTAGGTCGAGGGCTCGACTCCACAAACACCTACATTTAAATCAAGATAATATTTCAAAATACTTATCTCGATAACTCATAATTTCACCAGAAATTCCTACTTAATCAAAATTTATCGATTAAGGAGTTTGTGAGATTTTTGTGGAACTACTTCAATTATTCCACCAGATTAATCAACCACAATCACATATAAACTAAGAAGCACAGACACGGACACGGGTACGGCAACACGGGTACGGCGGGACACGGATACGTCAATTTTCTAAAAAACTAGGATACGGGTACGGCGGGATACGGCAATAAAAAATAATTTTCTTTTTTTTATTGTTTATATGTAAAAATTTCATTTTAATTGTAAATATTAGTACTTTCTATTCAAATAGAAGTAGATTAATCATATAAAAATAGAGTTCAACATTAAAATAATACCAAGTCTCATAAATATATTGAAAACCAATGTAAACATAAGTTAAAATCATGTTGGAAAACCAATGTGAAGTTAATAGAAAAGCATCTCAAGTAATTATTAATTGAGTCAGAGAAGTTTAAAAGTCTATTAAATAACCAATAAATAAGATTGTTATCCCCAAAAAAATAAAAAATTAAGGGCAATGAAGAGTTGGCGTGTCCCCGGAGTGTCTTCGCCGTATCCCGGAGTGTCTTCGCCGTATCCCGCCGTGTCCATATAAAATTGCCGTGTCCGTGCGTGTCCCCGGCGTGTCCGTGTCCGACACTACACCGACACCGGTACGGCAGTCCTGGAGGAGTGTCCGTGCTTCATAGCATATAAACATCCTCAATCTCCAAGATATAACTTTACTAA